TGCAAAAATACAAGTGTTAAAGGGCAAGTGCCCTTTAAAACGCACCACATTTCCCCCCAATTCAACAAGCCACCCCTCCCCCCGCCGCAACGCAAGCTTACCTCAACCTGAATGCCGCGGTCACGTTGTTGGTTTACATTCACTTGCCCTGCCAGCATCTGCACATTGCAGTCCCATAGACTTCTATAGAGCTGCCTCCCTATGCCAGAGACGGTCCCCTATGCCAGAGACGGTCCCCTATGCCAGAGACGGTCCCCTATGCCAGAGACGGTCCCCTATGCCAGAGACGGTCCCCTATGCCAGAGACGGTCCCCTATGCCAGAGACGGTCCCCTATGCCAGAGACGGTCCCCTATGCCAGAGACGGTCCCCTATGCCAGAGACGGTCCCCTATGCCAGAGACGGTCCCCTATGCCAGAGACGGTCCCCTATGCCAGAGACGGTCCCCTATGCCAGAGACGGTCCCCTATGCCAGAGACGGTCCCCTATGCCAGAGACGGTCCCCTATGCCAGAGACGGTCCCCTATGCCAGAGACGGTCCCCTATGCCAGAGACGGTCCCCTATGCCAGAGACGGTCCCCTATGCCAGAGACGGTCCCCTATGCCAGAGACGGTCCCCTATGCCAGAGACGGTCCCCTATGCCAGAGACGGTCCCCTATGCCAGAGACGGTCCCCTATGCCAGAGACGGTCCCCTATGCCAGAGACGGTCCCCTATGCCAGAGACGGTCCCCTATGCCAGAGACGGTCCCCTATGCCAGAGACGGTCCCCTATGCCAGAGACGGTCCCCTATGCCAGAGACGGTCCCCTATGCCAGAGACGGTCCCCAATGCCAGAGACGGTCCCCAATGCCAGAGACGGTCCCCTATGCCAGAGACGGTCCCCTATGCCAGAGACGGTCCCCTATGCCAGAGACGGTCCCCTATGCCAGAGACGGTCCCCTATGCCAGAGACGGTCCCCTATGCCAGAGACGGTCCCCTATGCCAGAGACGGTCCCCTATGCCAGAGACGGTCCCTACAGAAGTCTACGGGACCGTCAGTCTGCAAGAAGCAAATAAATACAATTGTGAGCTCTTCAGCCAAGCGGCGTGTTGGGTATTCGGCGCGACACACGGGAACAGGCGACATTCTTGATGTGTTTAACAAATAAGAATGCGGTGGGTGTGGCAGGGATTTGCTCCGAGGCGAGGAGACTGGGGCTGTGTTTACTAGATAAAGCGGAAGCGATCGGCATTTCGCCAGATCAGCATTCTGAAGGCTTCGGAAAAAAATATATACGGCGAAAACAAAAAGTTCTGCTCGGCGGACTCTTCCCGTGACATCACCGCGAGAAAGAAGGGACTCTTCAACTGTGCACGCCCCCCCCTGAACCCCCCCGCCCCCCCCGGAGGACGAGTACAGGATCAGATCTTCAGTCTCTTTCTTCATTTATATTCTGGAGGCTCCAATATTCAGACAGTAGCTTCCATGTCCCTGTCACAGGTCTACACCCCAAACATCACCCAGAGTCCCCGCTCCGCGCCCCCCAGTCCCCTGCTCCGCGCCCCCCAGTCCCTCGCTCCATGCCCAGAGTATTACTTTATTCTACATTATGGAGAAGCCATTATTTGTAAAATCTCAATGCAG